ACAATCTCTAATACCACCATTTGCATTGCTTATGTTTTGATAGAAGGAAATTACGTGAATCTAGCCAACTGTGCTACCTGAGAAAATCTTTGAGCTAAAAACATACATTGACTTAGAGTAACACAACTCTAGACAACCACAAAAACCTGCCTTGCTGGTATTTTATGATACACACATTGCATAAGCCATAGTGAGATGCTGAAACTCAAAAGTCTCCTCCACCATGTCTTTGGTGGAAGGAAGAGTGATTTAGGAAAAAAAAAATCTACCATGCAATGATATAAAGAAGCAGAAGATCTGTTATTTAAAATCAATAGATATTCTAAAGTCTTAACATTAGTTCCTCAGTGTTGAACTAAAATGACCATGTGATAACCCTTCAGTGCTTGGGGGGTCATGGGAGGCTCTGGCCAGGAGCTCATGATTTTCATGTTTGCATTATGTTGAGGGTCTTTTATCCTATTATTTGAGGATAAGAGTGATAAATGCAGTACTCCTGCTTTTTATTTGTTATAGTTGTCATTCAAAGCAGCCCAAAGACTATCAAAGAGTAGATATACTTGTACACTAAATATCACAGATACTTTTGAAACAAGGCAGGTTATTAATTAAATAAGTAACTCACTTGAATACTAACGTACAATGCATGTCCTCCTACTTTTTAAACAAGATTCAGCTGAAAGACAAAAACTCCTATAAACCTAGGACCATTTATATTATTCAACCCAGTACTTGCATTCTGAGCTAAGTTCTCATCCTAAAATACCAATTTTTCCAGTATCTACCCCAAACACACCAGCCGATAAGATTATTTACCTGTGACGTGACATTCCACTCTGCCCCTCTGGGAGTACAAAGACACAGGTGAAGCAAGGAGAATATGGGAGAGAAGGAAGAATCCAGGCCAAGAAAAATAGTGGCATCTTTTTTTTAAAGTTTGAATTCAATTAACCAAAATATAGTACATCATTAGTTTTTGATGTAATGTTCAATGATTCATTAGTTGTGTATAATACTCGATGCTCATCACATCACATACCCTCCTTAATGCCCATCACTCAGTTACCCCATTCCCCCATCCACCTCCTTACTGCAACCCTCAATTTGTTTCCCAGATCAAGAGTCTCTCATGGTGTGTCTCTCTCTTTGATTTCTTCCCATTCAGTTTTCCTTCCCTTCGCCTCCAATCCTCTGCACTATTCCTTATATTCCACATATGAGTGAAACCATATGATAACTGTCTTTCTCTGATTGACTTATTTCACTCAGCATAATCCCCTCCAGTTCCACCCATGTCGATGTAAATGGGAGGTAGTCATCCTTTCTGATGGTTGAGTAATATTTCATTGTATATATGAATCACATCTTCTTTATTTGTTCATCTGTTGAAAGGTATCTTGGTGCATCAGGCGCAATCATGACCGTCCTTGCTGCTGTCTGCACGAAGATCCCAGAAGGGAGGCTTGCCATTATCTTCAGATAATGAGGCAGATCCTTCAACACTTTGGCTATTGTGGACATTGCTGCTATGAACATTGGGGTCCATGTGCCCTTTCTTTTCACTACATCTCTATCTTTGGGGTAAATACCCAGCAGTGCTATTACTGGGTTGTAGTGTAGCTCTATTTTTAGCTTCTGTGGAATCTCCCTACTGTTTTCCAGAGTCGCTGTACCAACTTGCATTCAATAGTGGCATCTTTCTGACATCACAGAGAGTTGACAAGGGATGAAGCTTGAATTTCATAGAAATTCTGATTCATTTTTACTCAAATTGCAAGTTAAAAAAATGCCAAATTATTCACCTGTTTTTTGTTTTTGTCTTTGTTTTTGTTTTTACCCAACTGGACTTCACTTTCCTAAGTCTGACTCCTTGCTTTTATTTACAACCAAAAAACAAAGTATATATGTCCATTATGAACCACGAACTCGGTAGTGTTTCTGAAAAATAACAGTATGGCTTACTATAGCAGATTCTTACTATGGTTGATGCAGTTCATGTTATTTTATATATTCCTATAAAACTCTGGTTTCAGCTACACTGGCTTATTTTCAGTGGAAACTAGTGAGTCAAACAGAGACTCCTCCCAGAGCAGGCATGTGACCCAACATGCAATGTAGGAACCCAGGAATCTCCTTAACACCATCAAACACAGGGTCGCTGCCCAGGGCTGACTCAATGACGCACGACTGTGGGACACAGAGGAACCAGGCAGCAAGTCTCCCCTGGTATTGTCCCTAGTCCTTTATGTTGTGGCACTGGAAACTACGTTTAGGGAGTTCTTGTTTGGTTTCATCAGCCCCCAGGAAAGACAAAATGAAAGAAATAAAGGAATGTACCAGATCTATTTAAGCAGATTATGCTTATTTACCTTGATAAGAGGACTTTTAAAATACTCCATCTAAAATAGTCAAACTCAGAGAAACAGAGAATGGAGTGGTGGTAACCAGGATTGGTGGTGGGGGAAATGGGAAGTATATTGGTCAAGAGTAAACATTTACAATTATAAGATTGACAAATTTGGGGAGCTAACGTGCAGGATTGGGATTATAGCTAATACTACTGTACCATGTACTTGAATGTTGCTAAGAGAGTGGATCTTAAGCATTCCCACCACAAAAAACAAATGGTAATTATGTGACAGGTTGAGGTGTAGCTAATGTTATAGTGGTAATCATCTTTCAAGATATAAATGTGTCAAATCACCATGTTGTACACCTTAAATTTACAGGATGTTCTGTGTCCATTATATATCAGTGAAGCTTGGGGGTGGGGAAGTTAGGTTAAAAAGAATATATATATATATGCATATATATATATATGCATATATATATATATATTTCAGATACCATCCCATATCTCTGACTCTGCATTTCGGGCCCAGGCCCCTTTATGACATTCCCAGAGTAATTATTGAGCCAGGTTTGAAAACTGAGGGCTTAGGTTTTCAAATATACTCCCTGATCCTACTCATATTTTTAGGTTTTAACCTATTTCTTTTTCCTTTCTCAGGTCTTTATATTCCCGAATGAATGTTGAATAATTTCTTGCATTGGTTACCAAAAGTGTGTTTCATTTGACAAATGAAGACACAAACTCAAAGATGTTAAGTACTTGGTTCAAGGTTACACAGTACACTAATTAGGAGTGCCAGGACTAGAAAGCTGTTTGTTTTAGCCTCTGTGGTTAGTTCACTATTCCTTTTCCCTTCTTTTCTCTTAGCTTTATATTCATGCGTAAGAAAAATGGAGGCATCTAGGGGCTTCCTTGAAAAATCAGGCATAAATCAGGGTAAATGTAGATATTAATCCCTAAGCAATATTTTCTCTCAGAGAGAAACCTACAGGATGTAAAAGACTTATGACACATATCAACTAAAGACAGCGTGTGGACCTTGGGGTCCCAATTTGAACAGAATGTAAATTTTTTTTAAATTATGGGACACCAGGAAAATAACTACACCACTTGAATATTCAATTACATTAAGGAATTGTGTTTAAATATTAAAAGGGTGACAATTTTATTATGGCTCACTTTTTCAAAGTCCTTGCATTTTAGAAATACATATTGAAATACTTATGAAAGCAACAATCTCTGGGAAGCTTCAAATCCAGTGGTGGGGTGGGGGACAAGAGTGGCTTTGATAAACAGATTTGAAATAAGATTGACCATGAGTTGATAATGATTAATCCAAGTGATGGTGCATAGGACTTACTATGCTACTCTTTCTACCTATTCATATGCATGTTTTAAATTTCTCATTATAACACTTTTTTAAAAAGAATCCATTTCTCTCAAGGGCTGGCTTACAATTTTGTGGGTTATTCAACTTACCTATGTAATAATAGGCTTATTAGTGAGGTCCACAACTTGGTAGAATATTGATAGCTTTATGCTTCCGCCAGCCTTCTATCGTGACTATAGGAGACAAATGCCAACCATTAAAGCAGAAACTATGGTTCTCTAGTAACAACAATCTGTTTCCAAGTAGCTACGTACTTCTATAACCTGTTGCGCTGTGAGGGACCTCAAACTACAATAAGTAAGCTATTGAAATAATAAAAGCAGTTTAATAAATAACAGTAACCGTGAAAGAGCCAGCACACAGATCCGAAGACTTTTCATAACTCCAAAGATGCTTGGGGACTTGTTAACTGTGTCAAAGTCGGAGAAGGGCTTACCCAGATCTGGCTAGCGGGTAATCTAGTTAAGGTGTCAGGTTTAGCACCAATTTCCAAATATGCCCAGGAAGCTGCACTACCCAGAATTTGAGGTGGACCACTCTGCCTTTCTCCTTTGCCCCAGCCCACCACCTGGGTTCAGAATCTACGAGCTGTGAATCTTAAAGGGCAGGATCTGCTAACATTCATTACAACTTCAGAGGTAGCAGGGTTCCCAGTCAGATGAAAGGTGCTCGGGGTTTGTTTTTTAAACAATAATCCAATATCCTATTATTTCAATGAATATTTCAATGAAATATGCTTTGGCAGCACAAGAAACCGCTGGAGAAAGCTGTGTTTTATGACCTAGAAGTGGAAATAGAGAGTGCAAGGGGAAAGAGAGGTAGATTGCTGGAAAGATAATGTTTTATGTGTTTATTTGTCTTCCAGAACTCCAAATAGTTGTGTTGGCAGGCAGGCTGCTCCGTAGCTGCCCCCTTCTGAAGACTCAGAGGTGTTTACAGAAACTGAAAGTTCCAGCAGTATATTTCCATGAGTTCATTACCGGTACCAGTTATACCCTTTAGCTGTTGCATGTGCAAATGAGTATCCACGCAGTATAAACCTCTGCTCTGAGCTTTTGTTTAAATTACAAAGTAGCAGAAGTCGGGTATGTGATTACTGTAACATCAGGGCATCTTTTTAGAATCCCTGCTTTGGTCACTATCATTCAAAGCAACTCCAATGCCATTTCTTGCCTGCCTCTTTATGCTAATCAGCCTCGCTCCCTCGGCTCCTCCTCCCTCAGCTTCCCTTAAGAACTGTTCACTTTCAGCTGTCACGAAGGGTAACTCAGACCAGGCTTTGAAATCATCTGATTTAACTCAGCAGGACTTTTTAAATTTTGCGTCTATTACTCTAGCAGTCCTCTCTAAATGCCAGAGGCATTCGATTTCATGTCAGCAGATGAGGCAAGAATTGCCAAAACTATAACTGGTTAGAAATAGTTATTTTGTAGGATTTTGCACCAGAAGGGGGGAAAGCTTCAAAGCGCTTTGAGATGAAAGAAGAATTAAGTTGTGTTTTTATCCAAATGAATTGTCATCTTTATATGTAGGGGAAATTAAACTGGTAAATATTTATTTCAAGAATCATGACTCGGAAGCACTTGGAAGTTTATTAGAGAAGTAAATGTTTTACACTCAAGGACAGGACCTGCATGTTTCTCTGTGGCTCTGGGTGTCTGATGAAGACCATTTTAGGTGACTGACCCTTAAGGGAAGGAAATGCCCTAGTGAGACTGCAGCCACAGCCCTATCGCCAGCACCATGTCTACTGTACAAAGAAAAGGCAGCAGCCACCTGTTTAACAGTTCGTACACCTGTAAACTGAAGCTTCCAGAAGACCAGCGACCGCAAGGTGAGTCAGCTAGGCTAATGGGCTATGGGTTCAGTGATCTCTGGGCCATTTGCATTTCAGGAAGAATGGTAGGCTGGGGAAGCACCTGGGGAATCTCTGGTTGTAAAATGCTTTACCATCTTTTTTTTTTTTTTTTAACTCTGAGACCGGACATACTCGTGATGCATCAGGGTGAGTTAACTTGGATCTACTATTGGTTTTGAAAGGACCATGGGAGATGATCAAGAAAGCATATCCCTTGGACTTGCAACTCGGAGGCTTATATGCTTAAACTTCTGGCCACTGTCATTTTTCTGGAGTGTGATAGACTTGTGTAATTCAAAACGCCCATCCAGGCAAAGCAGAATCAGCTACAAGGGGAACTTGCTCAGAGTAGCTTTAAATTAGCCTGGAACTATCTTCCCTGCCCTGCCACTAATGGCACATTTTTGGATTTAGAGTTTAAACCTAATTTTTGCCTGGGTCTCTGACTCATTCATCTGTGGGAAAAATAAATATATTCTTAACTCTCTTCCTGTTATGAGGTAGGAACAGCTGGAGACAGACAGGGAGAAGTGTCACATTTCACGTGATGTGTCCTCATTCAGACTAAACTATCTACCTGGCAACCAGTTTCACCATCAGTCTTTTTAAAATTTTACATCTACTACACAGCTGCATCGATTAGTGGCAGATGGTGGACATGAATAGCCAAGAGGATCCCTCCAATCCATCCTGTCACGGACAGCAAAGGACACTTGGGGAAAAGGCAGGGTGCTGTCATAGATGACATCATCACTCCCCAGAGGCTGAGTATTGGCCCCAGGCGTTTCTAACTTGCCCTATAACGGCTGGTGGATGTCTCTGTGTATGGATCTAGGCTACCAGATCTTGATTTACTTTTCCACAGACAGTTTTAGATTTTAGTGGCATGGAAAGTGTTGGCTCATGCGCTGAAAACTCCCATTTCCAAGGTGGCATCTATGTGCTGACATTTGCAAGACAGTGTCCGGCCACCTCCCTGCATTCGTTCCTGGACTTATGCTGTACAAGGCTTGGCATAGTGTGGGTAGAAAATACTTTACAAGAAATGGAAATAGCAGAAAATTTTAAAACCATTCTGTATCATCAGGGCTCCTGTAAGCTATTTTAAACTAATTGCCTTAGCATGTCAAGTCCCGGAATGTGCAGGGGTTTAATCATAACATTGTAAAATTCTTACCCTTCTGTTAGTAAACTCTAAATCATCATAGGTTTTTGTTGGCTTTTCATTTTGTTTTAAATGCTTAAAGTAACCTCCCCACTCCGTTGCTAATATAATATTTATTCTATAAAATTTGCCAGGGAGAGCATTAAGGAGATGGTAAAAATCATCACCCAAAGATAGTTGCTATTAACATTTTAATGTATATTCTTCTAGCCTTTTCTTCTGTGCACATGTACAGCTTATTCCTTGGCTTGTCTTTTAAAAAGAGTTATTTCACATATAGTTGTCTTGTAAACTGCTTTTTAATAATCGATTACGAACAGATCTCCATGTCATATATTCTTCTACAACCTTATCTTTTTTAAAGATTTCATTTATTTATTTGACAGACAGAGATCACAAGTAGGCAGAGCAGCAAGCAGAAAGAGGGGGAAGTAGGCTCCCCGCTGAGCAGAGAGCCCAATGTGGGGCTCAATCCCAGGACCCTGAGATCATGACCTGAGCCGAAGGCAGAGGCTTAACCCACTGAGCCACCCAGGCACCCCTACAACCTTATTTTTAACAGTTGTATACTATTCCTTTAAATAGCTGTAACGAAATTCCTTAGGCAGCTCTCTATGGGACATTTTATTTCTATTTTTTCACTATTACAAACAACACTGTGTGTCACATAAACTAATGGATAAATCATTGCAGAGAAAGATTACTTTCTTGGGATAGATCCTTAGTGGTGAAACTGTGAAGTCAAAGAATATGTATGTTTTTAATATTTTGTGGGCTTTTTTTGTGTTTGCTTTTGTTTGTTTGTTTTGCCAATTGGTCCTCCAACCAGAAGTTTACATTTTCAGTAATACTGGGGTAATATTTTTAAAAGTTTTCCCCAATTTTATAAGTGGAAATACTATCCCGCTGTTTTTTTTACTGAAGGCAGTCTGTCTTAATATTCCCTCCTCATACTGGCCATATTCAGAGGACACTGGAAATATCATTATGATGACATACTTCCCAAAATACCAACGAGACAAGAAGTCTGGTCTCTTTTCTCAGACTGAAGCTTTTGCCTAGAATGTTTTGAAAGCAACCATATTCTTCCACAACTGAGTTGCAAAATATCAGCCCACATAAGCCACAATCCATAAAGTTATAAAGCATGCTAATGCAATTCACACAGGCCATTGACAGCTACAAGAACTGTCATCTAGAGGTCTGAACTGACAAGTGACACTGGGCAGTGTTTGCTATGCTGCTAAATAGCGTTCTAGTTACTGTGCCAGAGTTGAAAAGTGTTCTTCGAGTGTAGCAGCCTTGATTTTTCCTCCATGCTCTATTTGCACCTTGCTATTATGCAAAGTTCAGCAAAGGTCCAAGAAAGCAAAAGCCATTAGTTTCAGAGAGTGAGGTCTGCTGTGGATTTATTCACTGAGGTATTCTGAGTTTGTGGCTTTGGCCTACCCCGAGCCACACCAAAATTCCAGCTTTTTAAACTTAATGTACGGGCCATGATTAGTTGGCATTTAACTCTTCCAAAGGCACAACCAGATTCAACACATACATGCTTTCTAGCCCTCCACGCTCTATGTTGAGGTGCTTGATGTCATAAAGCTGTGCTTTTTGGGTGATCACTGGGATAAAAGTCACTTGTTTTTTAGCAACTCTCTGAACAATGACTATGCAAAGCACTGGGCTGGTCACTGAATACATGAGTGGAATCAAGCCAACTAAGCCGTGGTGTTCAGTCTGGCCAGTATTTACCTGCTACAGCAACAGCTGGTACAGAGTCCGGAACAGAAGTCCAGGAAGGTCCTCTCTCTACTTGTTGCTGTCTGATAGCTTCTTCTGGGAGAGTTCAAATCCACTGATATCTAACTCTAATCTGAGACCACATTTGTCAACATTAACCTGTGTATGCAAAACCTCAACACTGTTCAGTACACAATATATGTAGGTACTAGGCAAAATTCACCATATGTTTTATACTGCTGTATACTTTAAAATTTACAAAGTAAATTTCTAAAAGGCTTTAAAAATTATAAAATTTTCAATACGTTACCTTATTTAATTCTCACAATAGTCACATAAGGTCACATATTAGTTAAGATTCTCCAAAGAAACAATCTGTACGATGTGTGTGTGTGTGTGTGTGTGTGTGTAGATAGAGATAAAGAAAGAGATAGAGATAAAGATAGAAATTTATTTTAAATAAATAAAACCTGGTCGCTCAGTTGGTTGAGCATCTGACTCTTGATTTCAGTTCAGGTCATTGCCTCAGGGTCCTGGGATCAAGCCCCGTGTGGGGCTCTGTGCTTGGTGTGGAGTTTGCTTGAGATTCCCTCCCTCTCCCCTGTCCCTACCTTCACTTGCATGCTTGATCTCTCTCTCTTTCAAATAAATAGCCTTTAAAAATTAAAAATAGTCTTTAAAATTTTAGATTAAAAATTTTAAAATTTTAATTTTTTAGAAATTTAAAAAAATTTATTTTAAGATATTGCCTCACACAATCAGGGAAGCTGGCAAGTCCAAAATCCTCTGTGTTGGCCATCAGGCTGGAGTCCCAAGCAAAGAGCTGACCAATGTTGCTGCTGAAATCTGAAATTTCCTCTTGCTCAGGGCAGGTTAGTCTTTTGTTATATCAAACCTTCAGCTGATTGGTTGAGGCCCACAACATTCTAGAGGGTAATCTGCTTTACTCACAGTCCACCAGTTTAAATGTAAATCTTACCCCAAATCACCCTCACCAAAACATCCAGAATAATGTTTGACCAAATATCTGGCACTGTGGTGGAGCCAAGTTGATACATAAAATTAACTATTATAAGGGGGCATCATTATCCTCAATTTCAAAGATGTGGAAACTGGGAATCCTTAAAGTCAAGTGATTTTTCTAAGGTTATGTAGTTATTAAGGCCTACTTTCAGTGCACTTTCTGCTCTATAGAGCTGAATCATAGAATCCATGATTCCTAACATTATAATGTTTAATTTTTTTTCATTGGTCCATATCAAAGAACTTTCTCTGCAAACCCTCAAGCTGCATTAGGATTCCTCCTGCTTTTGTTCATTCTGACACCACCTGAGTGTGCTACAATTTAACTCAATTCTGGTATTATCCAAACTTAGTGAAGACTCCCAAAGTTAAGGGCTCAGTCTCATGGGATGGACCATTTCAAACACCAGCTACAAGCACCTCCATTTCTGCCTGAGTGATTGCAAATGCAAGGCTTTCCACAACTCCCCAGGTTTAAAACTTTGATAAAAGACTCAGCATCCAAGAAAGCCTTGTACCATTTTATTATAAAGAATGCCCATGAACAGCCAACTGAAGAGATACATAAGGCAAGGTTTGGGAGGGTTCTGAGCTCAGGAGTTCTCTCACCATGGAGTCTGGATCTACCGCTCTCCCAGGACATCAGTGAGATCACCAACGAGGAAGCTCCAGTGAGCATGGGTGTCCAGAGTTTTCATATGGGACTTCATTACATAGGTGTGATTGGTTAAGTCATTGGCTATGATTGAACTCAATTTCCAGTCTCTCTTCCCTCTCTTCAGGTTGGGGGTAGGACGTAGGGCTAGAAGTTCCAACTGTATAGTTGCTTGGTCTTTTTGGTGTGGCTAGCCCCTCCCTGGAGACACCTCATTAGTAAAACAGACACCTGACACTTGGGAAATTCTAAGTGCTTTGAAGCTCTGTGCAAGGAATAGGGAACAAAAACCAGATCTATTCTTTATTACATCACACTTTGGCTGAGATTTTCTGGATGACTTCTGTTCTTAGTGTCAGGTCAGTTTCCTGCAAGTCAAGAAAAATAGATTAATGC